TCTGTTTTAAAACAATGATTATTATTAATATTTTTGTCCTTTTTACTATTATTCTTAATCTTCCCCACCTAGGTCCTAGTTTTCAGCATTTTTTCTTTTCCCTGTTCCTGGTTGAAATTTTTTCTTTCCCCTTTTATCTCATGGTTAACCCCATTCCTTGATTTTCTTTTTGCATTTTTCCCATTTTTTTCCCTTCATTATTCTCCTTCTCTACTTTTCTTCTCTTAGTGCCCTATCCCTAGATATTGCAGGTTTTCTTGCTTTTTCTTCTTCTTTTTCCCTTTTTTCGTTTTTTGGTTACTGTTCCTGTGTGATTACATGGCATGTTTTCTGTCCCTGTGCTTTTAGTTTTTTGAAGGTTATTCAACTGTAATTTGTGTCTACCTGAGTGGGAGACAACAACAGTCTCCATAAGATACAATCACACCCACATCTGCAACTTCACTTACTGAGTGACAGCCACTACCTCCTTCTCCACCAACGGGCCAATGACAAAAAACCACCAAGAAGAGCCTGAATCACCCTTGGCTGCTCTTCACAAACAGTAAACAGAGATCTAAATACAATAATACCACAATGCCTCGGAGACAACAGACCATCACAGTCCACACAAAGAAGCAGGATAAAGTGGTAGAAACAAGGGAGCAGGGTACAGACCCAGAACACATCCCTGAGGAAGAAGCAGCATTGGAACTCTCTGATAAGGAATTCAAAAGAGTTATCTTTAAGTATCTTCAAAGGATTGAGAGACAGACCAAAGAAAACACAGAAAAACCTTAGAAGAATTTTGGAAGAAAATACAAGAACAAAATGACAAAATAAATGAAAAGTTAGAAATGATTCTAAATCTACAGATAGAAATCCAGAAGATTAATACTAAATTGCCAGAAATAGATAACACATTGGAAGGGCAAAGGAGTAGAAAGGATGCAATGGAAGACAGAATTAATGAGACAGAAGAAAAATACCTGAATACTTCTTTGGAAAGGGATCAATCAGAAAAAAAAATCAAAACAAAATGAAGAAAGCCTAAGGTTCATGTGGGATACCATCAAAAGGAATAACTTACGTGTCACTGGAATTCTAGAACAGGAAGAGAAAAACAAAACCACTGAGAAAATTGTCCAAGATTTGCTGGAGGAGAACTTCCCTGAAATGATGAAAGATGAGGATAATCCATTCAGGAAGTCCAACGAACCCCAAACAGGATAGACCCCAAGAGAAAACCACCAAGACACATCATCATCAAACTCATCAAAACCAAAGACAAAGACAGAATCCTGAAAGCAGCATGGGAAAAACAAAAAGTTAGCTACAAAGGACAGCCAGTAAGAATAAGCTCTGATTTCTCAGCACAAACCATGCAAGTGAGAAGGCAATGGGATGGTATACATAAAACTCTGAAAGAGAAAAATTTTCAATCAAGAAGTATATACCTGGCAAAACTGTCCCTCAAATATGATGGTGAAATTAGGAGATTTCCAGATAAGCAGAAACTAAGGGAATTTGTTAAAACCAGACCAACCTTACAAGACATGCTAAAGGGAGTCCTTTGAACAGAGAACCAAAAATAGCAAATAACAACCGACCATTAATACACAAGATGACATAACCCAGAAACCACAGCTATGGACATATCCAAAGTAAAATGAGCTTACAAGATTGTAAACAGGGAACCAGACACATCAATTGGCAAGTA